TTTTGATTTTGTCCTTGTCCTGTTCCTATACTTTGCTTCTTCTCTTTTTTTTTTTTTTTTTTTGCGGTACATGGGCCTCTCACTACTGTGGCCTCTCCCGTTGTGGAGCACAGGCTCCGGACGCGCAGGCTCAGTGGCCATGGCTCACGGGCCCAGCCGCTCTGCGGCATGTGGGATCCTCCCAGACCGGGGCTCGAACCCGTATCCCCTGCATCGGCAGGCGGACTCTCAACCACTGCGCCACCAGGGAAGCCCCCCTTTTGATCTTTTAATCTTATCCTCTCGGTTACCTCCCGGTGCTTTCTTTTCTTCTGCTCCTTGTCTTCTGTTACTTCCTTCCCACTGTTTAGCCTGGGTCTGAAACCCAATAGGCTCCTGGACATTAGCAGTGGAGAACTGCTGCTGGTTCCAGGCTTGCCTTACTTTCTGCTCGGCACTGCGAGCCCTGCCTCTTCCTCCTCACCTCCTCTTCCTGCTTATTCTCTTTCTGGATTATTAGTAGCAAAACCCTACTATGAAGAGTTGAGGTGAAGTTATTGACATTTCACAGGGTCCAAGGAGGGGGGTGTCTGTAGCCCTTAAGCTGACGTCACAATAAGATGCTCAGGCAGATCTTGTTCCAGGCAGGAGTTATATATTCTTCTCGGCTTTTAAAATAATGTCTTGTACTCTAAAGAAGATTATTAGCTAATTGGAGAATAGAGAGAATGCTAAAGACATGTCTAATTCTCCCTTCATTTTCTACTTACCAACTCATTATTTTTGTGATTGTGCATTTTCCACAGTTAGTTTTGCTAGTGCAGACTTGGCATGAAAATCAACATGTATTAAGTAATATCCTGGTTAACTGGACAAACATGAATGTGTCATTCTCTTTGATCACCTTGAACTTCCACTAATGACAGTGAGGTGCTTGAACATCATTAATGACAATCAATAAGTGAAGCAACGATTTTTTTTCATAGATCGATTTCTTAACTATTATTATTATATTTTTTTTTCGGTATGCGGGCCTCTCACTGCTGTGGCCTCTCCGTTGTGGAGCACAGGCTCCGGACGCGCAGGCCCAGCGGCCATGGCTCACGGGCCCAGCCGCTCCGCGGCATGTGGGATCTTCCCGGACCGGGGCACGAACCCGTGTCCCCTGCATCGGCAGGCGGACTCTCAACCACTGCACCACCAGGGAAGCCCGATTTCTTAACTATTAATACAAAGGTGTGAGGTTATGGGAGGGTTAAGTTTTGAGTTTCCATCAAATCACTGTAATCTGATCCCAGTCCGTAAATGACTATAATGCCCAGAGTTTTTTGGTGAAATCCAATTCACTGTGAATTCTGATTACATTTCCTATTCCTTTCCAAAAAACAGAAAGGAAATTAAGTTATATTTGATTACATTACAAAAGGCCAACTGGTGTCTGGGCTGTCGTTGCCTTGTCAGAAGCCTAACGTACATATTGTACAGGGGCAGGCTCTGGGCTACCGGGCTCTGGCACATGGACAAGCCCTCTTATTCTTTAGCTGAGCAGTTCGTAAGCAACAGCAGAGAGTTCAAAGAACACAAATGTACCTATGTGTTTTCATTATGAACAAAGCCAAATATTTGCTGTTTACATGGAATCAATGAAAATTACATCCCTTGAAATATAAGTATAATTTGTTTCTTACTCAGAGCAAGGTTACCAAGTTCAATATAAATCAAGTTTCTTAAAGTTTATTCAATGAAGCCAAGTCTGTATGGGTGGGGCAAAGTATACCCATGATCTATTTCAGTAGTTCTCAACCATTTCTGGTTTGTAGACTGCTTTGTTCATGTCATAGATGCTAAAAATTTTAATTCTCAAATGCACCATGTATAGAAATCCCCTGAGGATTTTGTTAAAATGAAGCTTTTGATCAAGCTAGACAGAGATGGGGCCCAAGGTTCTGCATGTCTCGGGAGGTGTTGATGTTGTCGGTCCATGGACACATTCGAATAGCAGAATAATACCGCATGTGGCCTCCTAACTTTATCTGCCCCAGACTGTCAGTAGAACTAATAGGTAGATGTGAGCTATTTCAATTAAGCACAAACAAGGCGACTTTTTGAATAAAAGGCCCATTACTTTTATCTCATATTAGTTTATACTGGAATGCAAAATATGGACTTTGTTATTATATCAAGTTTGAAGAGTTCAGGAGGATATTTGCAAATCATCTTAGGACACTCATTTTCCCAATCTTCATTTAGGAAGCACTTACCTATATCATTAAACCAGTTAGAAAACACTGATGTTTGGGTCTCCTACTCAGAGGTTCTGATTTTCATTGGTCTGGGGTGCAGCCTAGGCTTCCGGACTCTCCAGATGATTCTTCTTTGCAGCCGGAATTGAGAAGCCCCCCTTTAGAAGTTGCAAAGCCGGGAAGGCATATGGGTGATGCACTCCCAGCCCCTGGGGAATGCAGAGTGCTTCTTAGAGAGTGAATGAATAATACAAGGAAAAGAATAAAGTGGAGAAAAATAGAGTGAATTCAAGAAAGAGAAAAGAGGAACCATTAAAAAAAGGGCTAAGTGAAGGTCTAAGGGTTGACTGTAGTCCAAGAAGAGCTGGATAGGTAGCTGAACGGAAGCCTCCCAGGTGTCATGGATGAGACGGGTTTCACCCTCTTTGTTATTCGTATTGATATGAAAGTAGCACGGAGGCTGCAGTACGCATGCAAAATGAATGCACAATGGATAAGGAATGCACGTTTGCAATGACCATTAGACTCAAAGCTGTTTTTATTTTTGGAACTGCTTGAAGGAAGTGGGAGAAGTACTATTAAACACCTTGCATCTGGGACAACAGTAAAACTTTAAAAGGGCTCACAGTAGCCCAAACCTCCAGAGTGGGTAGGGGACTCCTTTGGTTGGTACAATGCAGTTTCTGTGGGGTTGGTGGTTAAGTGTATGTTCTTTTGAGTCATATCTTCATGCTTGTACCAAAGTAGCACAAAAAATGTAAGTGAGACAAAGTGTCATAGCTGCACACACTGCCAACATTCAGCACCTCACATGGTCTGCCGTGCTCTGGGCGAAGGGACCCCGGACAAACGTTACATAACTGGCCGATACAATCCGGTGTGCACTGGGGGCTGAAGATCTATCTCGATGCCTCAGTTTGGATGCGATAAGCATCCTGCTAGAAAGTTAACCCTTGGCTTTTTCACAGGGAACACATATTTATAAGGTTTCAAAAGTCATTGTTTTTGTGAACCAGACACCAAATGCAAGAGACACCTGGTGAACAATAAATATCTAGACGGTAAGAAACTAAATCTGAACACCTTGATCAGAGAGGCACCACCCAGTTCGAGCGAACAAAAGATTCATGGTTTTCGCTTTCTCAAAGGGTTCACTTCTGTGGGTGTTCTGTTTGTGATCTTCTTTCAGCTGATAGTGGCTTTTGGTTACCAACTCTTATCCTTCTATCTTCTGCCTGCCTCACAGCTGTTTAAAGATCCTATTGGCCACTGCTATTATCTCGTTTTTCAATTCAGCCATTAGACCCCGTGCCCTGACACAGATAACCCACCTCCAGGGTGTTTTGCTGTTCTGGCTGGTTTTTTCCTTCAGGAAAAGGCTTGTGCCACAAAGGGGGAGTGATACTGTGATGTCATTACAGAGTTCCTGAAAATGCAGCAGACCTACCCCCTGCCACAAAGGGGCTCTTGTGGGCTTGTTTATCTCTAGGCTGGTGAGAACCTAGGAAGTCACTTTGTTCGACTGGAATAAAAAGCTTAAAATGGTCTCAAGTACAGATTTGCTTTCATTAAAAAGAAGAAAAAAGATCAAAGGAAGAAAGTAGCATCTCCAGATCTCACGTTCCTCCTTCTCTTGTATCACTTCAGTAAAAGACACTAAGCAAACTATGTGTAATTGTTAACCGATGTATTCTTTACAATGATGTTCAACTCGAGTCTGCAATATTTATTTGCCTTTTTTATGCATTTATCTCCCTCATCATTCTAGACCAGAAACCACTATTTTGTTTGACAGATGAGGACCTCCAGTGTAAGTAAGATGAAAACATGTATCACACATGTGGATATTGGAAATCATGCAACATTTCCAATATACTTGTACATTCTGATGAGATGCAGATACTGATCAAGAACTCATGGCATAGTGTTGCCAAATAATCACTGTGAACCACTGCTTACAACCCAAGCTCCAAAACATCTAGCTGGTGAGAAAGTTCTTTGTGTGAGGAATAACTACTTTTTATTCATTCAGAGGTTTTAAATCAGAGGAGGGTGGAAACTCCTGATGGAAAAGTTGTGGATTCAGAGTAAGGAACACCAACACCATTGCTGTGTGTGTGTGTGTGTCTGTGTGTGGTGTGTGAATCTGAGGTATGTGTGTGTATATCTGTGGGACTGTTTGTGAATATGTTTGTACGTCTGTGTGTGGCGGTGAGGAAGCTCCTGGTTAGTAGACTTGCCCAGTATGACTTTAAGAGATATCATTAGATCTTAGCTTCCTGAATTGAGGACCCCTGGTATACATACAGAACTCAAAAAATTAAGCCTTTATTTGACTCAGCAAAATTGCATTACAGGGCAGCTCAGATAATCTAAAAACAGAAGAAACTGAAGATGCCAAGAGGTCTAGATTTTGACTCTCATTTTTCTAGATAAAAGGAGAAAGTATTATTCCTGATTTGAATTCAGGAGCTAAAATACTGTATAGGGGAGTATAGGACAAGATACTGGATTTTTGTCCTGTGATACCAACATATACAAGAGGCTTTTCATTGCATGTTTTCTGATTAAGTCTCTGCCCTGAAACCTCAAACCCCAACACTGGTCTCACTCATACATGTTTAATGAGGATGCAAAGAATTGTTGCTCTAATGGAAACTCTCACTGGCAACTTATTTAGGTATGGTCCCCACCCAAGGAACTTACTAAAATGGTCATTTGGACATTTCAATGCTCCTTCCCAAACTGAGAACATGTTGGAATTTCAGCTATACTTACAGTGATTGAAGGCTTCGCAAATTCTGTAGAGCTTCTGTGGGTACCTGTCTTAGATGATTATTCTGCAGCATGCTGCACATTGAAACAAATGAAAAAAAAAACATTAAAGAGAGCAATAATTAACAATAACTGGCATAGCAGTGTCAGGCACTGTTCTAGGTGTCAGGGAAACAGCTGAGCATCAGGCACAGCCTTGGCCTGTGAGGAGTGACAGATAATTTAAAATTAACAAATGATATATAACTTGAGACAAGTGATAGGTACTATGAACAGAAAACAAAACATGGATTTGGGATAGATGGTAACAAGGGGTGAGAATTTTATTCTAAAGGTGGTCAGAGAAGCTCTCTCTTAGGAGGTGATATTTGAGTAGAGACCAGAATGGCGTCATGGAACAAAACATGGGAACATCTGGAAAGTTACTGAGGAAGAGGGAAGAACAAGTGCAAAGGCCTCGAGGCCGGAGCTTGCTTGACTTGTTAAAGGAGGAGCAAAGGGTCATTGTGACTGAGGAGGAGTAACTGAGAGCAAGAGATTGGGAGACAACCTAAGGACATCTCATGAAGGACTTGCAGGCTTTATTTTAAATGTGGTGATAAACTCTTATTGAAGGGTTTAAGTGGGGGGGAATGATGTGATCTTATTTATGTTTTAAAAGGATCACTGTGATGACAATTAGATTAGACAAAATGGAAATAAGGATAAGAGTAGGAGGATATTAAAGATCTTCTCCCTCCTTGTGCATGATCATATTTTGATATAAAGTAATGCTTCTTGTGAACAATTACACTTTTGCTCACCTAGGTTCAACAGTTCTGATCAGAACATGGGGACTACAGAATGGAGACACCTGGCAACAGTGAAATAAAATATATCATTGCTAGTGGGAAATAGTATGGAAAAATTCCCACTAGATTTCTTATACTTTGCTACCTCATTCATAAATGTTTATAGCGCAATAATTTCGCAGCCACTCCGCCCAACCCCCAGCCAGTATTTCATGGTCTATGTAAGCCAGAGGCAGGAAAGTATTTTAGGAAAGCATTTTTAAAAGACATTTTAAATAAATATTTCTACTTATTAGGTCACAAATTTATACTTGGATTTTCAGAAATAATTTGCCTGGTTCTCTCATCTCCACAATTGAAGTCTCTTTTCATCAGATGACTACCTGGGATTCAACGCCAGGTATGTCTGACTCCAAAGCTTGATGTATTTTTTCCACTGTCCCTTGCAGCATTCTCTTGAGGAATAATCGTACAAATTCTCAGGTTGTACGCCTTTCACAGTATGATTAAGAGCATGGGTTCTCGGATCTGACTACCTCTTCCCTGCCAGTAGCCCCGTGGCCTCAGGGAAATCATTCAATCTCTCCAGGTCTCAGTGATCAGTAATAATATACACCCCCAGGGCTTATTGTGATGATCTAATGAGCGAAAGTACATAGAACAATACCTGCTGCCTGGTAAGCATTCAATAAAGGTTGGCCCTTTCTGTATAAATTGATAAGTACTCTTCTCAAAACTAATGATATAGTGACATTTTAATTAATGAGAAAATAAAATTGGCCAAAAAAAATCTCTATGCCAGTGGTTCTCAAACTTTAGGGGTCATCAGAATTCACTGGAAGGCTTGTTAGAACACTGTTTTCTGTGTTCCACCCTCAAAGTTCCTGGTTCAGTAGATCTGGGTATGGGCCAGAGAATTTGCATTTTTAACAAACTCTCAGGTGATCTTGGTGCTGCTGGGCAAGGCACCACACACTGAGAACCACCCTATGCTCTGCTAAGTATTTCTAAGAATATTTTCACCTGAACTTGAGGCTACATTGAGATTGGAGATAAGGTCTAAGTTTTGAGTCTTGGCAAGCAAACCATTTACCCTTCTTGACCGTTGGACTTTTATCTGTGGGATGGGAATAGAATAATACCATCTGATTGATAAGTTGTTTGCGGATTACAATATGAAGGCATTTATTATACTTTCATATATGCAAATATGAGCTCATATCAAATAAGACGTGTAAAATATTTGGAGCTCATAAAATTTATGCTCTTCTCACCATGGCTGAGATTCTGTTTTCTAAGGATCATAATTCTGTCACTTGTAATCCAACAGTTTTTTTTTTTTGTGGTACGCGGGCCTCTCACTGCTGTGGCCCCTCCCGTTGCGGAGCACAGGCTCCGGATGCGCAGGCTCAGCGGCCATGGCTCACGGGCCCAGCTGCTCCGCGGCATGTGGGATCCTCCCGGACCGGGGCACGAACCCCTGTCCCCTGCATCGGCAGGCGGACTCTCAACCATTGCGCCACTAGGGAAGCTCAATCCAACAGTTTTAAACAGGTAATTTCATTATTTTAAACTTGGATTCAATTAACATTTCATATATCAAAAGTCTCAAAACATGTTGGTTCTTTATGAACAAAGTCAAGATTTAGAGAGACTTCACACTTCAATTACCGGTTAGGTAATTGGGAAAACTGTAGCTTGAATGCCGTATTTTGCATAATTTACCTAAATATTAAAAGTTTACGTTTATATGTTATTTTATACCTTTCCAAGCAGTTTGAATTTATGATATAATTTTAACTTGACAGAAATGTTTTCAAAGTCACTCACTAATTGTATGATAAATTTAAGTGATAAGATACAGATAATAGACTTAATTGATGTGTAAACTTTGTAGGTAATATATTACTGGCTCAAAGTGTGTACCGAACTGTCCTCCTATGCTTTGCTAACCAGACAGTGAAACTCTTATAATGTGGTCTTTCTAGAATATTGGAAAACTGGAGTAGAGGATAAGAGATATTTAAATGGCTTTTCTTCATTGAATAGTTGCAAAGTTTCTCAGTAGCTCTATATATCTACCTTCAGAAAATGGAACTTAAACAAGCTTTACTAATGATACCTTTTAAAGCTACCCCTGAGCTACCTCCCAGCAATTTAATTTTCAACCACTTCTACCAGTTAAATACCAAAAATATAATTACAGAAAATCACTTAAGTCCTGATCTCTCCTTGAATAAAGAACTTTTGTTTAATTACTTTCAAATGACAAAACAAGAGCAAATTATCTCCATTATAACCTTATAGGTCTTCAGTGAGTTAATTAGAAAATCCTGTTTTTGTTTAAGATATTCCAGTGGGAAACAAAACAATTAAAGGATTCATAGCACTATGGAGTGCAATTAGAACAGAGCATTCACAACATGGTTGCAGAATTCTTTTATAAATAATCCTTTATTCAATGCAGCAAGTACAAGCAGAATGTACCACGAACTGAATATGGGTTTAGGCACTTACAACTTCATTTTTATCATTCACATATGGGTGAGAAAAGAAAATGAAACATTATCTCTAGGGGCAAAGGATGACTTCATATTTTCTTAATCTCTTTCCCTGAGGAGCTTTAAAACTGTAAAATATTCTCAATTACATACAGTGTCCCCAAGCTACTTTAACAATAAATTTTTTGTTTTTTGTTTTTTTTTTTTTTGGCCAACAGGACTAAATAAGGTCAAGTACAGGTACTGTGAAGCAGGTGAGAGGAAATTATACGTTGAAAGAGGACTCTAACAATGGCTTGATCCTTAGGTATTTCTTCTGCCTACTTGTCCTATGTTTAGATATCAAGTAGCTATCCAGGCTCTTTTCTGGGAAGGAGAGAATTTTAGTTGTGACTTTCCTATGGTTAGTTTTATCCATCACCTCCATGTGGCTTTGGTTCTGGTGCTGGTGGCAAGAGGATAAGCCATTCCTCGACTGAATGGCCTACACAAGAAAATGAACCTTTGTTGAGGATAGCCTGGTTCAGAATTCCATGGAACTGGGTATTTTGCAATACTAAGCCAGTAACCTTTTATGAGGCCAATATTTATAGGGATAATCATCTTAAATTTTAGTGATCTTCCAGAGCTCACAGTAACAAAATTTCTGATATAAAACAGTCCTCACCAAGGAGGGCTGTTGTTATCATTTCCTATCTTCTAGGATTGGATTACTCTTATCTTTCTCTTCTTTTCCAGATCCTTTCTTACTCTCCTTATATGATCAGGGCCCCAGATGAATATTACTTGTATATTATCTTTCTCACCATGCTACAATATAATCAGTTATTTCTTTCTTCCAATGACTTTTGGACTTTATAAAACATTTGAGTCACTTTCCACAATGGTAGGACCAGGCCTGTCTTGTTCAGCATTTTACCTCTAGCACTGTGGTTCTCAACCCTATTGGACCTAATTCTCCCTTTAATACCAAATATTTTGTAATGCTTCATCCATTATATTAAGACAAAATTCATAAAGATATAGCCACTTACACACATCATTTTAAAGAAAAAATATCAACATAATGTACTGCCTTAACTGTATGATAAAGGAGAAATAAAAGTAATTTATAATAAAGGGATTATATGTATTATTATATATGTGATGCTCAGATATGACTATCCTAGGAGGTATTTCTATGAAAGAGTCAGATGTTTGCCTCCACTTTTAATGAATAAGGTTGGGTATGAGAAAAGTAACATGATCAGAAGTTATTCTGTGCAAGAACAGGGAGATGAGAGTAGAGGTCTAAATGGATACTAGAATAAGATCTACAGTTAAGACATATAACAGATTATACTTATTTTATGTAATGCTTTATAGGAAAGAAGGAAATAACTTTTATTAAAACAAAGATAACATACCAAGACATATTATAGATGTTGCAGTGGAGAAAATAAGAAAGTGTTACATTCTCACAAATGAGTGTTCCTTATAGATAAGAGTGATATCAAAATAATTCTCTCTCTTTTACGAGATAGGACTGAAATACCACAGAGAACATCCATCCTATCTCAAATCCATTGCACGCTGAGGTGAGCATCTGTTCTCCAGTACTTCAAGAGGCCCTTGGGAGCACACCCCGCCATAGGTAAGAAGGAATTGAGGCTAAACTGGAAAAAGAAATAGTCATGATACCACCTGCGTAGAAGTTGGTTGGTAGACCCTGCCGGATAGTGGAAGAGTAATATTAAAAATGCAACAGGCTACCCCCAAATAAATAAATCATTATATAGTTATCTCCGCACAGATTTTGTATGATCGTGCTCCCAACATTTTAAAAGGCCATATACGAAATATTTATAAAGCAGACTTTGTTAATGAGATTCAATGAGAGCCCTGTGTTTCATGTTTCTCTGCTAATTTAATGATAGTTATTTTTAAGAAGACGTTTTACAACTTCACAGTTACATAGCTTTAATTTGTTTTGTGGTTTCTGAGGTAATTCTTCTACTGCACTAATATCATTTTCAAATAAATATGTGGGTAGAAATCACAGGATGCACGATCTGTGTTAACTAGTCAATGATTTTGAGAGATTATATTTATACCATTTAATTTTTCCTGTACAGATTATTAGGCGTATGCAGAACTTCATGTAAAACCTTTCAGTTTGATTACGTATGAAAGTATTATTGATTGAAGTTTGGTGTGAAGGTAGAGTCAGAAGTCAAGAGGGATGCAGGGGAATTCTTTATGCTGGGCTGAGCAGCTCATCACAGGACAAGTTACTACATGCCTATCACCTGGAAAACCAAAGATGCTTCCACAAATTTCCAGAACTTTCTGTGGCAGGGGTGATGACCATGGTTGAGAAGCATTGCTCTAACACTAAATACTTTCCAAATATTTGACAATTGATTTGCTCATTGAATACTAGTCTTTAAGTCAGCAAAATAGAGAGAAGAGTGAATACTATTCCTGGCAGGGGTCTTGCTCCTTTTGAATCCCCCTCACATTGATCATGATCCAGCTGAAGTGCAAAGTCTGAAAGTGTCATTTTCTTGCTCACATCTTTTTCTTGGCTTCTCATCATGCTTAGGACATAATAATGTCTATGCTTTTTTGACATGACATACAGGATCCCGGTGACCAGGACCTTTTCTCTCTCTCCAGGCTCTTCTCCAGATACCTTCTCCTGAATGCTTAAGTACCACCTGCGTAGGGCTGTCTGTTCCTCCCAGGTTCCTCCTGCCTCTGTGTCTCTATGTATAGTGTCCCCTCAGTCGGCTACCTTATGTGGATGGTTGGTTCAAGGTTTGGCTTCTAGGTCAACTCTTTGGAGAAACATCTCTCCTAGGAAGTCGAATTTGAACCATCAGACTGGACAGAGTCCTTCCCAACCTCTGTAGTTCCACAGAATCAGAGTGATCTGTTCATCTGTCTTGGTCACAGTATCTTGATCCCACAATCTACCACTAGATTATAAACTCTTCAAGGGCATGGCCATACTTATTGATCTTTGTCTTTCCAGCAATAATTTGTTCAATGCCACTCTGAGTAGTGTGTGTGCATACATGCACACGTGCACACACACACACACAATCTAGTTCGGTGTATCCAATATACATTTTGTCAATGAATTAAAATAATTCATTCCAATATAATTTATTTAACAAGTTTCCAAAATACTTAGTGGTACCTATTTCGACACAGGGAAAACATCTTAGGTGTCTCATCTAAACTTGATTTATGTGATGCATTTTGAATGGTTCCAAATATTTTGCTGGATTCGTGGAAATATAGGCACATTAGAATTGGTGTTACAGCCTAGAATTTCACCACATAATGGATTAACCTTAGGATTTGGAAGTATGACAACTTAAAAATATTGCTACCTAATAGTAAAAATAACTCAAGGGTAGGGAGATCAAACCCAATCACCTAAGTAGACCAAGACCAAATAACAGTTCTGCTTTTGAATTTACCTTTTAACAAAATATTAAATTTAAATAAAATTGCTTTTTAAAATAGCCTATGTATCCCTCAGGTCAATGAAATGCAATTTCTATTAAGCAGAAATACATCAAATGCCTTTTTAGAGTTTATAACTTTTATCTCAAAGGAGATAAAATCAGGTTGTTTTCCCTGAGATAAAACTTTCCTGGTATGAATTTCAACTTGTGTTATCTATTTTCTCTACCAAGGTCCCTTTCTTTTCTACAAAGAATAAACTGAAAGAAAATTAAACAATGGGTACTAGAAGCAGGAGGTATCAGTGATAATGAGTTTTCTGATAGAAAATTAGGAAGTTGGACATTAAATAGTAAGAAAGCCCATTTTTTACAAGTCTCAAGGGATTAACATTTCTCAATTAAACAACTACTCATTGTATCTACTATGCACTAGGCTTTTCTACATCTATTCATAAGTGGAACATAAACTTGATTTTTTTTTTTTTTTACCTGAGCCTTATTCAGCGCATCACAAGGAAACAAATTCTGCAAATGGTTTGAGGCTGTGATCTCATTATGTCAGCATAATAGTGATTTATTCACTTGAATCAAAATGACTCAAAAAACTCCCCCCAACTTCATAGCACAAAAGGAAAGGGAAATACGCTTTCACAAGTTTGAGTTGATAAGTTGGTTATTTAGGGGCAAAGTTTTGACATTAAGGTTAGAAAAGGAGAGATGAAGTTTTTTCACACACAAATCTAGCCAGGTATCACATGTTTCTATGGTATCAAGGAAGGCAGACTGGAATTTAGACGAATTATCTCATGACTCTAAATAGTTTATTGGAGGAACTCAATCTTTACAAGTTAATTAGCATCCACTTGACACTAAAATCAGAATTATAACAAGCAATACTCGGTTTACTTACAGAACTTTAAGACTGTAAAGGCCAGCAAATGCTCCCTTGGGAATGTATGTCAAAGCGTTTCCGGCAAGACGTCTGCGGGTTTCAAGGGAGAGGAGGGAGAGTAAGCATAGCTCTCTTCATGTGGAATTCATTTAGTTGTTAAAAATGCAATACAATTATGTGCAGACCACGAATGCCAAAAGCAACTCTAAAGAACCTTGTTTTGTTATATTTTGCAAAAAATTTCTTTAAATCTCTAAACAAAAAGCTGGCAAAAGAAGGGCCTAAGAAGAAATATAATAAATTACCTATTTTACAATAAATCACTTAATAGCTTACACTATGTATATAAAACTCTCTATCCGTTCATCTGTTGATGGACATTTAGGTTGCTTTCATGTCTTGGCTATTGTATACAGTGCTGTAATGAACACTGGGGTGCATGTATCTTTTCGAATTATGGTTTTCTCCGGATATATGCCAAGGAGTAGAATTGCTGGATCATGTGGTAGTTCTATTTTCAGTTTTTTAAGGAAACTCCATACTGTTCAAAACAGAAACAGACTCACAGACATAGAAAACAAACTTATGGTTACCAAAAGGGAAAGGTGGGGGGGAGGGATAAATGAGGAATTTGGGATTAACACATACACACTACTATATATGAAATAGATAACCAACACAGATCTACTATATAGCACAGGGAACTCTACTCAATATTCTGTAATAACCTATAGGGGAAAAGAATCTGAAAAAGAATGGATATACGTATATGTGTAACTGAATCATTTTGCTATACACCTGAAACTAACACAACATTGTAAATCAGCTATACTCCAATATTAAAAAAAATTAAAAAAATAAAACTCTCCTTTAAAAATTTTTTTTTATACAAAAAGTAGGCAAGGTAATAGAGAGGGAGCCATGGGCGGTGATTGTGAGGGCAATGGGCTATTATTTACAGGTACGACGGTTGATGGTCGGGGAAACCCCTCTGCTGAGAGGGCATTTGAGCAGAGGACTGAGCCATGCAGCGACCTATGTGAAAGGAACAGTGGTACAAAAGGCCTGAGGAGGGAGTGTGCTGGCGTGGTCCAGAAACTGCAAGAAGACCAGCATGGCTGGAGTGGAATGACCAAGGGGAGAGTGACAGCAGGTGAGGTTGGAGCAGTGTCCAGAGTCACTCCACACAGGGCTCTGGAGGCCACAGTAGGGACTTCGAGCAGGGGAGTGATGTGATCAGTTCTGTGTTTTAAAAGGGTCCTTCTGACAGGACCCTTTTCTTTTTTTTTTTATAAATTTATTTATTTATCTATTCATTTATTTATTTTTGGCTGCGTTGGGTCTTCATTGCTGTGTGTGGGCTTTCTTTAGTTGCGGTGAGCAGGGGCTACTCTTCGTTGTGGTGCACGGGCTTCTCATTGTGGTGGCTTCTCTTGTGGAGCACGCGCTCTAGGCACACGGGCTTCAGTAGTTGTGGCGTGCGGGCTCAGTAGTTGTGGTGCACAAGCTTCATTGCTCCGCGGCATGTGGGATCTTCCTGGACCAGGGCTCAAACCTGTGTTTTCTGAGTTGGCAGGTGGATTCTTAACCACTGTGCCACCAGGGAAGTCCATGACAGGACCCTTTTAAAGGGGGAATAGACTTTGGGGGCAAAAGTGGAAGCACAGGAGGCGACTAGAGCAGTTCAAACAGGAGCTGCTCGTGCAACACAGCTGTGGTGGAGGAGGTAAGTGGTGGAATACGGTGGAGAAGAAAGAAAAATCCCACCTGGCAAACCATTTGTGTCAAGGTGAAACGTAGGTAGCCAACATTTCATATTTATGGTTATATTCTATATAACCTACATGCATTTGATTAGTTATCCAAAGTACTATACGTAAACTGAAGGACATGGTTTGCATAGGACCGTGCTATAAAAGAGTTGCTTATTGAATTAAGACAGACTCAGACTTGGTTGACGATCACAGGTGGCTTAACTGATCAGACTAAACTGACCAGGAACTGTTATTTCAGCCAAAATGTCCTTAACTATCCTGTTCATAGTCACGATTTCAACAGTACATTTTTTGAGTTCTAAAACCTAGCCTGAAAATGGGGGCTTATCGACTCTTACTGCTGCTATGTGATCGAGTAGCTTGATGGTTTCTGGGTCACTGACTTTGGAAATGAAAAGGAGAAAGTAAAAACGTTCTATTTATTTATTTTATTAGTTTAAATTATTGTTAGGGTAAATACCTTTCTGTTACATTTCCTGAATCATAGCTCACTTCACATGAATTGTTTTTCTTTTCTGGGCAAGGACTTTGAGAGCCGCAGACTATATTCAGAACTAATCTGTATAACCACTGACCTGTGTTATCAGGGGAATTTGTCTTAAAACAAAGGAATTTATGATGGGCTATTAGTTATTCGTTGTGCTGGTGAAAGATATATCTCATTGCCCAAAAGCACAATTTAAGGAAATCATTGCATCCTTCCCCTCATTTCTTTACCACGTGGGATGGTTTTAGCAGTTAAAAAATTAAATACATATAAACTATAGGGAAAAAAAGACTTCTATATAAATGAGTACACAAATAGTGAGAACTGCACACAAATCTTTCCTGTGAAGATTTGAACTAACAAATCTCTGGGCAACTACGTTCCAACCCTTGAGACCCACATACCATTTGGCTGGAAGGTTTTGTTTTTTGTTTTTCTCTCTGTTTCTAAAATTATTTCACAGAAATGTCTCTTGCATCATCTTCATTTCTATAATAAGATACAACTTAATAGGAAAAACTTTTATATCTTTTTATATCACATAAAATTTTTTTATCCTTAAAGATACCTCTCCATATAGAAGACTCAAATCGTCCTATCATTGTTAGTTTTGCTGACTTAACTGCCATAAAAAGTAAAAAAAAAAAAAAAATCAGTAAGTTACAGTAGACACATTCCTCTTCAGATAAATCAAATAAGCAGAGGTTTGGCTGTTGTCACAACCAACTAAAATATTTTTGAGAATGTATGTTTCTTTGAATCTCCACAGTAATTTGAATCTCTAAAGGAATCCAAGGGTTGTTTTGTTTGTTTTTGGTAGCTTTGTTTTGTAAAATGGTGGGATGAGAGCAAAGCACTCAAGTGTGGGCCCTGATTTCTCCTCTCTGGACATTGGTCTGGAGGGAGAGAGGTGAGTGAACAAAATGGGATGAGCACTGAGAGTGGAAGAGGTACTTGACCCTGTTCTCTGATTGGGACCCTCGGGAAGATGACTGTGCGGGGAACCATGGTCCAACATCGGTCCCTTTGGCTGAGCAGTATTTTCAGAGGTAAGTGAAAGGGCCTGGTGAGTTTTAATAGGCTTTCCAGGTCATGTCTTCCAAGAACCCATTTGTCTTTTAACACTCAGTTTTTTTTTCTTTCCCTTTTTGGCTTACTTTTTTCTCACTATTAACTTGCTGCAAGACTTCACACAAGTCATTTAACTTCTCTGGACCTTATTTCACGTATTATTTTTGGCCACACTGTGCAGCTTGCGGGATCTTAGTTCCCCAACCAGGGATTGAACCCCGGGCCACCACAGTGAAGGTGCTGAGTCCTAACCACTGGACTGCCAGGGAATTCCCTTATTTCACTTACTTTTAAAAAATGATAGGGTTCTTCCACTAAAGTCTTTTTCTGCCCTACAATTGTTTTTGTTACACATGGATTTCCTCCTTACCTTCATTCTTTTCTCCCTTATCCTCCCTCCACCCATCTTTTTCTTCTTGTTTATTAAGATTTCTTTATTACACGTCACCAACATTTTTTATAACTTTCTTTTTTTTTTTTTTAGATGTTGGGGGTAGGAGTTTATTAATTAATTAATTAATTTTTGCTGTGTTGGATCTTCATTTCTGTGCGTAGGGCTTTCTCTAGTTGTAGCAAGCGGGGGCCGCTCTTCATCACGGTGCGCGGGCCTCTCACTATCGCGGCCTCTCTTGTTGCGGAGCACAGGCTCCAGATGCGCAGGCTCAGTAGTTGTGGCTCACGGGCCCAGTTGCTCCGCGGCATGTGGGATCCTCCCAGACCAGGGCTCAAACCCGTGTCCCCTGCATTAGCAGGCAGATTCTCAACCACTGCGCCACCAGGGAAGCCCATCACCAACATTTTAAAATCACTTTCTCATACTTTATATCAGGAGGTAGATCAGAGGTTATTATGCCCATATTTTGAAGATACAGACACCAAAGTTCAGAAAAGCTTTATGTAAAATGAAAAACATCATCTCTTTCCTGATTTCGTGTAAGTGTAATCTAGTCCTTCCTTATGGAGCATGGAAGCTATCTAACAGTGGTGCTACTTAAATAATCAGAGCAAAATGAACTTGAACATGACAGCCCCTATGATTTAAAAGAAGACATTTCAGACTACTTAGCAATTTCATGCTGGCTCCTAGTAATTACTGCTTTATTTTCCAACTCTTACAAAGTACATGAGATCTAGAGGGCACACATTCTATACATGCTAAATTAATTTGTATCAGAAATTTGGTAAGGGCTAACGTCAGGCTTAACGGTAGTAGTTTTTCCCCTTTTCCCATTCTTAAGATCTGCCTGTTTCCAGTTTTCTGGTACTATTTTCTGTCTCGTGGTTTCCAATATTAACTTCAGTGGCTCTGTTCCTATTTCTGAATTTCTTTTTACTCTTCTGATTTATAATTACCTGAATAATTGTAGTTAAACTATCACTTAAACATAAAATTTCTGAAATGTCAAAATGTTCCCACTTGAAGAAAAATTCTCCTAAAATAAAGTTAGCATAAACCATACTAATATTGTAATTAGTGACTTTCAAAAGACAAAGTGATGCAGGCAAACACACTAGTCCATTCCGATTGACTATTCATAATTCAATTCGATTGACTAAAGCTGGGCTCTGGGTTCCTGCATACAGGAGCCAAGAGTCTGGGTCAGTGAAGTGTTAGACACAAATAGGATGAAACTCATAGTCTGATGTAATCTCTTAATCTTGCCTCCACTGGCAGTAATGCATCATCACTGTAACCGACTAAGTTCACCATGGTTAGGTTTGCTTTCATAAGATGCCTGTGCTAGTTGGAAGGGCCC